CTGCTTTTCCTGTTCGTCTGCTAGCAGCTATTTGGGAGGTTCCAGTTCGGGAGTTGGAGTGCCATTTTGTATCCAGTTCGTGAGTTTTGGTGTTCTGCAGTAGCTGTGCCTGGATCTCTGGAAAGGGGGCCGATCGCCTAAACGGTTTTACCCCTTGTGTGCAAAACGGTCCGTTACAATTGGTGGCAAGCGGCGGGATCGTTCCTACAGCCAGAAGGACAGCTACAGGAGACACCATTCCGTGGATTTTACAATTTGAGGGCAACGCAGTACAGTACAGCAGTCTCAGTACAGCGACCCTGACAGCAACAGAATGGAACCAGCAGTGGAGTACAGATACTCTGTACAGGAATTTGACCGTATGATGTGGTTGCGGCTGAACTTCTACGGGCCTAATCCAGCTGAGAAATCCGTGAAGTTCATGAGGAGTCTAGTATTCAAGACTCTGCTGTACCGGGCAGAGGGTGACGGTCAGCTGCCACGGTGGGTGGACCTCCACCGGCAGCTACAGTTGCGGGACAGAGAGAGCACCAGTCTCCTCTCCCCATCCCATCTTCCAGTCTCCTCTCCCATCCACATCTTCCAGTCTCCCCTCCATCCCCATCCACAGTCTCTCTCTCTATGCCGGGATTCAGTGTCTCTCTCTCCCCCCATCCCATCCACCAGTATCTCTCTCTCCCCCATCCCATTCTCTCCAGTCTCTCTCTCCCCATCCCATCCACCAGTCTCTCTCTCCCCATCCCATTCTCTCCAGTCTCTCTCTCTCCATCCCATCCACCAGTCTCTCTCTCCCCCATCCCATTCTCTCCAGTCTCTCTCTCTCCCCATCCCATTCTCTCCAGTCTCTCTCTCTCCCCATCCCATCCAGTCTCTCTCTCTCCCCATCCCATCCACCAGTCTCTCCCCCCCATCCCATTCTTTGCATCAGTTCTCTCTCCCCATCTCTTTCTCTCCATCAGTCTCTCTCTCTCTCCATCCCATTCTCTCCATCAGTCTCACTTCCCCATTTCATTCTCTCCACCAGTCTCTCTCTCCTTTCCATTCTCTCCATCATTTCCCCCCTGCCCATTCTATCCACCAGTACCACCATCCTATTCTCCCAAGTTTATACCCCAATCCCATTCTCAAAATTTTCTACAAAATGATTATTTTATTATTTAAATAATGCAACAAAAGCCAACCTAGTGTATTGTGTTCAATATATACCTCCCAGTCTCTACCTTACTCCAGTTATCTAATTATATTTATAAACATTAGAAACTAAATTATAAAATATTTCTATTACACATTTGACCAAACCCAGTTCTTATTTCATCGCACCTGCCCACCCTGAGAACACTAGACAATATGAATTATGACAGGAAGGAAGGCAGGCACAAAGAGGGGCATGACTGTAACAATGTCTGTCACTGCAAGGGCACGCTGGCTGTCAAATTGGCAATGGTCCAGACATACATGTAGGGTATGCCGACAGGTAACCACCAAACCAACCACCCACAGCTGCTGCCAAGGGCACTTTCATGCAACAAAAGGAGTGATCACAGACAGGTGGTGTGACGAGACCAATCTCGCCACATTGCATTGGAGAAGCCTGGTTACTCGTCTGCTGCCTTTGGACTATGGCCCCCTGTTAAAAGACATCTTTTTTCCCTGCAGAAAAGCTTCATTCGTGCTTTTCTGCCTGGGGTTCAGTAGATTTGTTTGAATGTGTTATACCCCAGATAGGAATCCCATGGAGCCCATTCGTATGAAACTGACTGTAAATACTTTAGCTCCACGGCGATTAAACTGTATTCGTGTGGTCTGAGCGCCATTCACTTAATAATGTGCGCTCGGACCTGAGCTATCTGGGGATATGTTACATGTCTGTGTTTTATGTAATAAATGTGACTTTATGTATTTTAAAGTGTTTTGTGTCTCTTTGCAACCATGTGCTTAATGGAGTCTTGTGTCTGTCCTGGGAGATAATTGAATTACTTATCTCCAGGATAGAAGACTCTGAAACTGGTTTGGGCCAGAAAGCCATGCTTCATTTAGTCACAAAGGACTTTTTACTAACTTTTGAACCCCTTGTCTGATTTGTGCCATTTTGAATATGTTGTTCCCCTGAATGGATTGATTGAGAATATGTAATTTTATGTGAATGTGATGTATGGTTTTGGAGTTATGAAAGTTGGGTAGAAAGTATGTTTTAACTGTTTGTATAATTGAGTTTCCTCTCAGGATAAGGGGAGGGAATATGTGGGATGTAACTGTGATATGATTGGTTGTTTTATCCCTCCCTGTGGGTGGTCCTGTATTTGAAACACTGTAATAAAAACCAGGCTGGGTGTGCCAGCACCTCAGACCACTGCTTGACCCTCAACACGGAGCCTTGTCTCGTTCTTGGGGGGATTCACTGTATGCTGTTAGAGACTGATTGCCAGGAGTGTAAGCTGTTCGTGCTTTTCCTGTTCGTCTGCTAGCAGCTATTTGGGAGGTTCCAGTTCGGGAGTTGGAGTGCTATTTTGTATCCAGTTCGTGAGTTTTGGTGTTCTGCAGTAGCTGTGCCTGGATCTCTGGAAAGGGGGCCGATCGCCTAAACGGTTTTTACCCCTTGTGTGCAAAACGGTCCGTTACAGGTGGAAAGGATGCTTTGAAAATAGGAGCTAAAGTGATACATTGCACACATAAACCTGTATTTATAAATGCATCTTAGTCCAGGAAGCTGGTATTTTAGTGCAGCTACTAACCATGATCTGCAGTCTGTTTCTATCTTCAGATCTTATTATTGCCATTTATAATGAAACATTACTGATCTTTTACACCATCCTTTATACACGCACAGTAACTGGAAGTCAATCTACATTGGCCAATTACCTATCCTGAAAACCAATATTTTGCCACTGACACAGTTACTGTGAAAGATATATAATAAAATATATTAATAAAAGCATCCATCTAGTACTCGAGGACTTCAGGACAGCTCACCTTATTTTCGTCACCAAGCCTTCTAAGCCCCATTTGTGGCAAAATTAACATCGTCACTTGTGCCTGGAGAGGACTACTTGCCAGCCTCTTGCCATGTGATTATGGTCCCTGGGAGGTTTGGCCCTTTAAATACAGGATTTTGGCATAATGGATTTTTATTGTGCTGCTGCTGGCCATTTAACTCCCAGAGAAAGGATTTGTACTTTTAAACTGGCACTTCGGATGCAGTTGAAGTGTCGAAGTGTCCGCCGTTTGAAAACCGAACACGTGGCGGCGGCCATTTTAATTTAGTCGAAAGCGGTCACCAGTGCGTGCCACTGAATCTATGGAACTAAAATCGGCTACACATTTGCACGAACACAGCTGACCCTTACCTTCTCATGAACTTCGACTGGAATTGAAGTGCGTTCGACAATTTGAACGCACTCTTATACTGGGCTATTTGCACGAACGGCCCTGTGCATTCCAATGAGACAGACTTTTTCTGTGTGAAATTGACCGACCACACAGCCCAACGCTATAGAACTCTTGTGGGCATTAAAATGTGCTTGCGGTCGGTCAAAGGTGACATATCTATCTCCCAAATGGCTGAACGGATTCTAATGATTTTTGGGTATGTTTGTATTTGAAATATGCTGATTAATAATATGTGACTTTTATTAATATTGGATGTATTGTTTTAGAGTTATGAAAGTTGGGTAAAAAGTATGTTTTAAACTGTACGGCTAATTGTATTACCTCTCAGGCTAAGGGGAGGAGATGTGTGGGATGTAACCAGTGTGTGATTGGGTAATTCATAATTGTCTGTGGGCGACTTCCTTGCACGGGAGAATTGCATAAAAGCAGAGTGTGTGTCATTAAACCTCAGTTCTTCTTCACCCTCAATCTGAGTCCAGTCTCTTATTAGGGGAATCTGCTACAAGGGATTGCTATGTTCGTCATACTCTCTTGCTATAATCACTGAGCTCTTGTAAGAGCTGTTTGGTTCCTATTATGCTCTCTGGGGAAAGAGAGGTTCACCCACTGGAAGCTGGATTCTGGCCTTGAGTCCAGGGTGGGTGGAGACGGCGAGATCCCGGCGCAGCTGCATCGCTGGAAGGGTGGTCTGCAGTGCTGATGGTGTCGGTTGGAGTGCTTGGAGTCCTCAGCAAGCACTA